CCCCCAGCAGCCAGCCAGCTCTGTGTCGGGGGCGGGGGGTGCAGAGAGTCAGGCCGGGATGCGGGAGAGCCCGGCGCCCAGCTCGGCCTCCTCGTCAGTGACCGAGCTGTACTGCGCCCCTCCCAACAGTAGGGCCGACCTGGGCCCGCCGGCCACGGCCGGGGACTTCAGCCTGAGCGCCAGTCTGTCGGCATGTACGCTGCTTTACGAGGTACCTTCCAGGAGAGGGGCCCGCCGCCCGCCAGCCCGATGACGACCCTGCGCCGGGCCGCGACCGCCCCTGGAGCCCGGCTCAGCCTGCCTGAGCCGAGCAGGAATCCCAGCGGCCAAACCAGTGTGCCCGAGCCTCGCGGGTCCCCGGGCCCTGCCGTGTGCCTATGGCCCAAACTGCAGCTCCGCTGCCGGGCCAGGATCTGGGGTGTCTGGGGCTGGCCCGAGGCTGCTCCTGGGGGCGCGAGGGCTTGCAAGGTGCTCTGTATGGCTTTGTGCAACCGAGGCAGGGCAGCGTCTGGGACCGCGTAGGGCACTCCCCGAGCACCCTGGCCTCTGTGGGCCCGGGCTGTGGAGTGTGGGCCCAGCTGTGCCCTGGGGGACCTGAGTGAGGGGTGGGGGCTCAGGGTCTGTGCTGCCTTCCTTAGCCTCTCCTGTGGGAGGTCTTACGGTGTCTGTGTCGCAGGGGGCGGTGGAGCCCATGCAGATTGATGTGGATCCCCAGGAAGACCCACAGAATGCCTCTGACGTCAGCTACGTGGTGGAGAACCCCACCCTGGTAAGGAGCCTTGGGTGCCTGGGTGAGTCTCAGATGGGAGCCCCAGGCATTGTGCCTCCACTGGCAGACCAAGCCCCAGGAGCACACACACACACCACCACCACCACCACCCTCCTCCCTGACCCCCGCTCACCCCCGCTCGCACCTCACACACCCTTTCATCTCAGCAGTAGCCTCTTCTGGGCTGTCCTGTAGGACTAGGGTGGGCCCAGGGCCCTACCTGCTGGCCCTGCCTAAGCCCGAATCCCTGAATCCCTGCCTGCCCAGGACCTAGAGCAGTACGCTGCTAGCTACAGCGGCTTGATGCGCATTGAGCGGCTGCAGTTCATCGCCGACCACTGCCCCCCACTGCGGGTGGAGGCCCTGAAGATGGCCCTGTCCTTCGTGCAGAGAACTTTCAACGTGGACATGTACGAGGAGGTCCACCGCAAACTCTCTGAGGCCACCAGGTGAGCAGGTGGTGTGGGAACAGGCTCCCCACCCGCCCGCTCTGCTGGCCCCCACCTGGAGGTGCCATGTGTCTGCGGCCCAGTCAGAAATGGGGCACAGGGAGAGGCCGAGGTCAGGGTGCCCTCCAGG